GATAATGCTGAAAGTTTAGAAGAGTTGGAAAGGTTTGATCTGAGTCGCTCACAAGCAATAAAACAAATCCAAGACACATTGAACCGGATTAATTTATGGAAAACAAGAATAGTATACAAGAAGCCAAGGAAGAAATCATGAGGCATAAAAATCAAACACAAAATATTGAAATGGAGGAACGAGAATCACTCCCAAAATTACAACCAACAAAGCAGAAACTCAAAAGTATTAAACTCTACAATGCAGCACTCAAATTAATTCTGGTTGAAGTAGACCCACATATAAGTCTGAACGAAGCAATATATGCATCAGTGATAGGAGTAACTAAAAATTAAACATCAAAGTAAACAAATGACAGTTTTACAGACATGAAGATCCACCTTGAAAAAGAAAAATAACGAAAGAAATTGAACAACTTAGAACTGAATTATCAGTACTCGATCAACTAGCAAGAGGAGTAAATGTACGGACTAGAAAAAGCAGAAGGGGGAAAAGATAATACAATATTAGGAATGAAAATGAAGTCCTATCAGCTAAAGAAAAAATAAAACAAACAATACAACTAAAGACTCAAAGAATCATTCGCTATGTAAAAAGACCAAGATTCTACCGACAGAAGATTTTTCAAACCGATGTTAAGAAATTTTGCAGAGAAATAGGCAAACAAAAAAAATTGAACTGACAATCCATCCACCCCCAAGAACAACGGAAGAGTTTATACAGTTCTGGGGAAAATATGAGCTGGGAAAAAGAAGACTGAATTACGCAAGAGGTAGAACGAAGGAAAAATAAACCAGAACAAACATGGGCGGGAATCACAAAAGATGATGCTGAATGTGCACTGAAAAAAAAAGCATACAACTGGAAATCTCCAGAAAGAGATAAAATTCAAAACTTTTGACTATATTATCTAAATACGACTCACAAAAAATTGCCAAAGAACTTCAAGAAATGGTCAATGATCCTATTAAAATTCTACCACGGGTGAGCAATGACCTTTCTTCTACCCAAAAATAGCGACACAACAGTCTAAAAAAAACTACTGACCAATTACATATCTTCCCACTGCTTACAGACTGTTGATATCTATTCTGACAAACCAAACATACTCCTTCTTAGAAAAAAATAACACCACTTCTTGAACAAAAGGTTGCAAACGTGGCTCTTACGGATGTAAATGCCAATTACTTATTAATAGGGTGATCTTGGAAAACTGTTTCAATACAAAAAAAATCTCAATACTGCCTGGATAGATTACTGTCAGACATTCGAAAGCGAATCCCATTCCTGGATCATAAAGTCTTTAAATATATACAAGGTATCACCGTCGCCATCAATTTCAGCAAAGTATGTCGATATGGAAAACAACACTTCAACTCAGTAATAGAAATGGAGTCTATAAGTCTGGTGAAATAAACATCAACAGAGGAATATTTTAAGGTGATTCTTTGTCTCCCTTACTATTTTTATATCCCTAATAGCATTAACCAGCGAACTTAGCAGGACGGAATATGGCTATAAGATATCTCAAAAGAAAATAAGCCATCTATTTTACATGGATGACTTAAAGTTGGATGCTAGGAATGACAGTAAGCTGGAAGGTCTCCTGGAAACAGTAAAATGTTTCAATGATAACATTGGAATGGAATTCGATTTGAATAAATATGCTGAAGCCACATCTTTACGAGGATCACTACAACAAACCTCATCTGTTAGCTTAGACCCTGGGTAACAATCACAGATTTAGAGCAAGAAGAAGTTTACAAGTACCTCAGTGTAAATCAGGATGAAGGATTAAAAAAATGAAATAATGCAAAAAGAGTACGATACATTATTGCGACTGATATTAAGAACTGAATTGAATTCTCAGAATTAGGGACATTAATAGCTTTGCCATCTCAGTGGTTCAATATAGTTTCAACATTTTGAACTGGATTCTAAATAACATCAGATGAATGGATTCTAAGACAAGAAAGCTTCTTTCTAAGTATAACAAGTATCATCCAAAGGCTGATGTAGACCATCTATACATACCCCGTAAAGAAGGCGGAAGAGATCTTATTCACCTAGAATTGTCATACAAGACGAAACTATTGAGTTACTAACATACATGGAAACAACAGAGGAGTGGATGTTACAATTAGTCAAAGAGCATTAAAACAGAAAGAAAAATTATTCAATTATGAAAGAAAGCTGTAAATGGAAACGAGATTTACATTTAGTAGAATCTGTAGAAAATGGAAACAGAATCCAAGAACCAAATGTTGCAGCAAAAAATATGAAAAAGAAATCCAAAGATAAAGCTTTTGAACAAATGAAATAACGTTGGCAAGATAAACCTCTTCTTGGCCACTATTCAGAAATTGCTAAAATCGATGTTGATACAACACTCATGGATGCTTACGAGCATTTGATTTAAAGTCTGAAACTGAAGAATTTATTCTTGCAGTGCAAGGCTTGAGTTTTTTCACTAAGAAACTTTCAGGTAAATATACATATTAGTGTGGATCCATAATGCAGGTTCCGTGACAAATATCAAGAAACCATAGACCATCTCATCTCAGGATGTTCTGTAGTTGCACCAAATGTATATAAAAACCGCCAGGACAGAGTGTGGCAATACTTACATTGGTCAATGTGCAAACACTTTGGAAAAAATGTCAATAAACTCTGGTATGAACAACACCCAGCACCATTTATAGAAATAGAAGACATTGCCATTCTATGAGATTCCACCATCTTTACAGACAGGAAGATTAAATCAAATAAAATAAGCCGGACATAATTGTCAAAAATCGAAAAGAAAAGAAGTTGCCTACTGATATGACTTGCACAGCGGACATAGCAACCAAAGAATTTGAAAAAAATATCGAAGTATAAAACCTGAGAAAATAGAAAAAATGTGGAAACTGAAAACAAGAATAGTACCAGTAATAGCAGGTGATCTTGGAATTATAAAAAAGGAACACAACAGATTGAAAAATCCCAGTTTAAGAGAGATACAAAAAATTGTCTTGGTAATTGCAGCCCGCATACTAAGAAGAACGTAGTTCATGTAACGCTAGTGATGTTATGGGAGTTGAAAAACCAAATCATGAAATGTAGCCATAACAACACACTACTATCTGCCTTAGGTCTTCCCGCAGACTTGCTAGTTACTGTGAGCATAGCAGAAATCGAAATACAACAACAACAACAACAAAACAATAATAATAATAATAATAATAATAATAATAATAATAATGCAAAAGCAAATGTAATGCACCAAATACAGAAACGATGACGAGATAAACTTTTTCATGGTCAATACTCTCACCGTACCAGAAAAGCTGATGTAGACAAACCCTATACCATCAGTGATTACGTAGTGCAGGATTAAAAGCTGAAACCGAAGGTTTTATTCTTCCTGCACAGGATCAATGCTTCTTAACTAGAAATTACCAAACACACATACTGAAAAATTCTGTAGTAAATGCAGATTTTGTGATAAATATCCAGAAACAACTGACGATCTTGTATCAGGTTGCACAGAGTTAGCACCGACTGAATATAAAACTTGGTATGTTAGCCAATATCTACGCTGGAAAATATGCAACTTTTACGGGAGGGAAACTGCAAGAAACTACGATGAACATCACCCAGACCTGTTTAGAGAAATAGGGCCTGTAACAATTTCTATTTGACATGACAGTTCCTGCAAATTGTCGTTTATCTTTGAGGATTTTCAAAAAAAAAAGCTATTAATATACAACGATCTAGAATGGACATCTCAAAATTGTGGCTCACGAGGACATTAGTAATTCCAATTGTAGTTGGAGTCCTCGGATTGACTGGAAATGGTTCCGATAGACTCAGTGAAGGGATTCCTGGTAGCCCATGATAAATAAATACCAAAATCGTACTCTGACAAGTACAGCTCACACATTACAAAGATTTTTATCTATGTAAAAAATATGTGGCCTTTGTTTTTTTGCCGTTTTTTCAAAGATGTCGTAAAGCTATTTATAACCTTAGGTCTCTAGTTGGGATCCGGAAGGAAATGTGTATACAAGAAAAATCAAAGGAAATGTTATAATAATAATAATAATAATAATAATAATAATAATATTAATAATAATAATGTTTAGAATTGTATTTTGGTTTGGTGTGACTTATTATAGTAATGTTTTATAAAATAAATGGTCATTAACCTATCTGAAAAATGCAAGTCTCTTACTGGAATCTTTTGAAGCCTCTCTTTATCTCTCTCTCTCACTATATCTATCTATCTATCTATCTATCTATCTATCTATCTATCTATATTCTATCTGAAATATTTTTTGAGATAGAATACATCTGTAAAATGGTAACATGAATAAAGACAAAAAGAAAAACTTATCTTAGCGTTTCGTCCTCTGCGTCGGGTAATATAAGTTTTCCTTTTGTCTTGAATCATATATATATATATATATATATATATATATATATATATATAGATAGATAGATAGATAGATAGATAGATAGATATGAGATGTTATGGAAAACCTGAAAAAATACAAATTAATTCAAATTATTGTAAAATGTGTCACCAACGGTAGCTTTGACTGCCAAAATCTAACAGCTAAACAACCCCCTTCTCCATTTAGTAAAAGAGAAAATAACCTTATTCATGAGTTATTTGGGTATTCGTTAAATTTGACCTTCTGCTCGTCTGTCAGTCTGTTTGTCTGTCTGTGTGTCCTTCCGTTTGTGTCGTTTGGAACCTGGTTCTAATCAATAAGTCGAATGGGACGAGTGCTGAGCGCATGCATAATTAAAGACATGAATGCGTAATGAGTTTGTAATTAAATTCTCATTATTCAGAACTATAAATAAGTAAGGTGACTGTTGCAGATGATGATTAGAGGAAAGTGAGAGAGAACAAAGAAAGAAAAGATAAGGAAAATAAATAATGAACGATCATAGAATTGAAGGTTGCGATGCGGCTATTGTTGGTGTTGGTTTTGCGTAGGAGAACCGAATTAGACACAGGGCAGACAGAGAGAGAGAGAGAGAGAGAGAGAGAGAGAGAGAGAGAGAGGAAAAACAGAGAAAGTTTTAAAGAAATACGGTCTTAGAAAGAACAGATCGAGAAATAGATAGATAGATAGATAGATAGATAGATAGATAGATATAGAGAGTGTGTGTGTGTGTGTGTGTGTGTAAGGGGAATTAAAAGAAGTCAAAAGAATATACGGAAAGCTAAATGGGTAAAGAAAGAAAGAAAGATGAACGGAAATAAGAGGGAAAGAAGAAAAGAAAAAAGAGGAAAGGAATAAAAGAAAAACAAGAAGGAAGAAAAAGAAGAAACATACCGAAAAAGAAAGAAAAGGAAAAAAATGCGAAGAAGAGAAAAAAAAAAAAAAAAACGAAAGAACAACAAAAACAATAGAACAGTGAAGAAAAAAGAAGCAATAAAAATTGAAAGAAAGAAAGAAAGAAAGAAAGAAAGAAAGAAAGAAAGAAAGAAAGAAAGAAGGAATTGGTGGTTGGTTATTGTTTGTGTGCGTATTGCAGTGTAGGAAAACTGAAATGCAAAAAGAAAAAAAAAACAAATAAATAAATAAAAAAGAAGCATAAAATGATAGGAGGAGGAAAGTAAAGGGAGAGAATAGAAAGGAAAGGAAAGGAAGAAGACCGAAGAAGAGCAAAAAAAAAAAAAAACGAAAGAAAGAAAGATCAGTGAGAAAAAAAGAGGAATAAAAATAGAAAAAAAGAAACAAAAGCAAGAAAAAAAAATGATAAATGAAAAAAATAAAGTAAAAGAAAGAAGAGGAAAGAAAAGACAGACGACAGAAGAAGGACAGAAAAGAGAAAGCAGAATGATTAGAACGAAGGAAGAAAAGGGAGTAAGTATAAAGAAAAAGGGGGTGGGTGAAAGAATTAAAATAACAAAGAAGAAAAAGGAAGAATAGACAAAAGGGGAAAGAAGAAAAAAGAAAGAAGGAATCTGAAATAATAAAAAAGAAACGAAAGGAAAAGAAAAAGAAGAAGACTTAAAGAATAAAATGAAAGAAAAACAAAAGAAAATATAAGTTAGAATAGAAAAAAGTAAACGAGAAAGAAAAGATATAAGGAAAAAAGAAAGAAAAATAGAAGGATGAAAAAAATTTGAATGAAAGAATACATAAAAGAGAAAGGAAAGAAAGCGGAAGGAAAACGAAGAAAAATGAAAGAAAAAAGTAAAAATAAGAGACAGCGAAAAAACAAAAAGAAAGAACAAAAAATAGAAACACGAAAGAAAAAAAAAGAATGAAAAAAGAAGAAAAAGGAAGAAAGAAAACAAAATATAATGAACAGAAAAAAGAGGGAAATATAAGAAAAATGATTAAATAAATAGAAGGAAGAGTGACAGAAAGCAAAGAAGAAAGAAAAAGAAAGAAAAAACAATAGAAAAAAAGAAAGAAAGAACAGGGAGAAAGAAGCAAGAAAAAGAAAAAAAAAAGAAGGAATCATTAGAAAGAAGAATGAACGATAAAGAAAATAGGATAGATTAAGAAATAAAAGGAAGAATGACAGAAAGAAATGATGAAAAAAGAAAGAAAGAAAAATGTATAGATACAAGCAGAAAAGAAAAAAAGTAAAAACAATATAAAGACGAAAAAAGAAAGAAAGAAAGAAAGAAAGAAAGAAAGAAAGAAAGAAAGGATAATGAATAAAAAGAGTAGGGAAACATATGGAAGGAAAGATAAAATACGAAATAAAAGGAAAAATGACAGGAAGGAATGAAGAATGAAAATAAAAAGAAAAGAAGAATAAATAATACACAGAAGCAAGAAATAAAAGAAAGAAAAACAATAGAAAGAAAGAAAGAAAGAAAAGTAAATGAAGAAAAGAGCTAATAGTGAATAGGAAGAAAAAAGTAAAAAAAAAAAAACAATTGAAAGACGAAAGAAAGAAAGGAAATAAAAAAGAAAAAGAAAGAAAAGAACGAATATTGAATAGAAAGAAGAATGAAATATAAAAAAGAAAGGGATAAAATAAAAAAATGAAAGGATGAATGGCAGAAAGGAAAGAATAAAGAAAAGAAAGAATGAAAATGAATAAATAGAAACATGAAATAAAAGAATGTAAGAAAGAAAAAAAAATCAAGCGAAATCTGAGAAAATTATAAAATCAACAAATAACGATGCCTTTTAAACATATTTATTTATAAATTCAATTCATCGTTTCGTTTCGGCAAATTTGTCAATCAGTTTGTTTTAGAAACTATCAGTATCTCGCTCTACTTTTATCTTCTTCGAAAAGTCTTTATTCATAGGAATGAAAACGAATTTATTCAATCTATCTTCATGTTGGGAACAAGAAGGAGCATTTAACTTCACTTTTCTTTTTTTCACTCAGTTATTCCACTGTTCACATAACTGTCACAGAACTGACATACAAAAGAAGGGGTCTTCTCTGTTAACACTACTCTAATAATGTCTCTTGTTCTTAATTTATACTAAGAAATGACCACAAGCGTAAAATGGATAGCAAAAGTAATTTTTATTACACAAAAAAAATCTAAGACATGCATTGTATCTGTCTATATTTCTGAGATGAGGTATTATGTACACTATTTACATTATTCGGACTATTGTCCTCATCGTTGTTTCCTCAAGGACACACGGCACAATGGATAAAGACGTTGGTTAGATCCAGTGACAGGACCCAAAGAGTTGTGAGTTCAATACCTGGTTAAGGCAGTGGAGAACTTGGAGAGGGGAATTAACAGGAGATAACTGATAACTGACATCCATTAGATATGGCACGTGGAACTAGAACAGTCTACTCTAGCGAGCAACATAACGGGTTCAGTTCGACATTCCAACCACCTGAAAAAGGCCGGAGCGTACATCGGCCGAAGCGTTGTGATAAATATGGCAACAAAGATGACGACAATAGTCCGAATAATGTAAATAGTGTACATGCATTGTATGTGAACAGTTCTCCACTGTAGTATACCTTTAAGATAATGTGTGAGATGAGTCGTTTTAGCAAAACATTTTTACTGAGGAAGTCATCTAATATATTTATCTTAGTCCCTTAAAAGTGCGTATCCAGTGAGGCTTTTTGAAGTGGGATTTTTTTGTGTAGATTTTGTAAATGAAAAATTCGGTATATGTAAAAATCATTTAATAAGGTGGGACACAAAGATTTATTCGAATTGTCAGAAAAACTTATTTGAGAAAGATATCAAAAACGACGAACTGATCAGATGAATTGAGCCAGTCCACACAAAGAGAAACGGTCATGAAATGAAAGGTTTATTTATGGAGAGGTTAATCTTGAGTTTTGGAACACATGATAGACGATTTTAACTTTTCTATACAAGTTCATTTTTATCCTTACTATGAATACCTATGTCATCAGTAGAGCACAACTCGTCATCGACCTGGGCAAGACGATAAACTACATCCGAAAACAAGGTCTCTGATTGGGAGGTTTTGAGGAACGTAGAACCGCCTCTTAATTGCTGTTGTTCCCAGGGTCGCACTAACTGTTAGGGTTCCAGCTATGTGCAAATAATACCCACCAAACCGGGGTCCAAATATTATGAAAGTATAAAATACATTCTTATAGTAAAAAATTTCAGCAATAGATTTTAATGGTAAAAAAATTACCAAAGCTCCCAAGGAAATTAAAGTCCAGCATTAAATGAACCATAAGGTGTTGATATACCATTAAACAAATCAAGCCAAAACATAACAAAGCATTAGCCTAGGAAAGGAAAACAAGAACGCAGTTTTCTTTCTTTTTTTTTTTTTTTTTTTTTAGAGTATTTCTTTAGAGTTTTAGAGTATTGGCCCACGTTATCATGCGGAATAATATATTCAGTTTGTGCAAACACCGTGCAGCTTGATACAAGACGGTCAATTGTTACTGGATATTTATCAAGAATCTGCATTTCAGGTTAAAATAAAAATTCAGTATGTATGCTTGGTAATTTCTAGTTAGATTTTTTTTCTTTTTCTTTGTAAGCATTACGCCCCGAGCAAGGCGTGAAGCCACTAGGACGCAGGGGGGTTGCAGAAGATTTGGAGCAAGAGCAGATAGGAGTGACAGAAGAAAGGATGAGGAGAAGGATAGTGGGTAGATCAAGGTAACTGGAGATGTCAATTGACATTACATTTGAATAGTTAGAGATTATAGCTCTCAGGGAAACAGTAATTGGGAAGGGTGTTCTACAGGCTAGAGGTGCGAGGTATGAAGCTATTGGAGTAGAAGAGACGGCTACATTTAAAAGTTTCTACAGTGTAAGGGTGGGAGCGGGATGCCAGCCTCGTAGGGCGCTTGAATTCATGGAGTCTGGGAACCAGTGAAAGCAGCTCATCGAAGCAATTACCATGAAAGTATTTGTAGAAAAGACAGAGAGAGGCGACGGCGCGTCTGAAGAGAGAGTGACTGCAGACGAGACGCCAGATCAGGGCCAATTTTCTAATCGTAGATTCATCTGGGATGCGATATGAGAAGATTAAAGGATCGGTGCCCATCTCTTCACAGCTGTCTGTTTATGTGTAGATTATAGTCTAGAAAGATATTAAATAGTTTCAGTCATTTATTTCTTCTTTGTCTTACACCTGATAAGTTCTGAAATGATTTAGTGTTTCGGTTTTGGTCTTCCGTTATTCTTTTAGCGATTGTTGTTTGAAAAAAAAAAAAAACTTTAATTCCGATTTCAGATCAGCGTTTCTGTATTGGAAGTTTTTTTTTTTAAATTTAAATGTTACCATAAGCAAAAGTGGTATCAGCAAATAAAAATACTGGGAGTATAACAAATTTTATAAGAAAGTGTAGTTAATTATCAAGGTGTTTCTTTTAAAGAAATGACACCTGTTTTGTAGGAACTTTTTCGAAAATATTCTGTCATATATTGAAAGCGGTGTAATTACGGAAGTAACAGGTGATGCCGCTAGTTCATGTCTAAATATTAATGTTTTTCGTTCTTATCTACACCCCCTATACTACTTACACTCTTCCAAAGCGCATTCACTCAGTTTTCAGACAAATATCTTCATATCAAAGAATCTATTAATGATTCTACTCGCGCGGAGAGAACAATTATTTAATAGTAGAATCTATGGTCAGAGATAAGAAAATTGAACATAGAATAGGCAGTGCAAGGGCTAGTTTTCCCCAATACCTCAAATGACTACAAAACCAACACATTAAACAAAAATAAATTCGAGTTGTGTTCGTAAATAACCCTGTCAGATCACAACTCACTTACAATTGTCATGCATGTGGCTAAAATCGTTCAGAAGTATCTAAATTGCTAGTTGTATATAAACGTTACGCTTACTCATTGTCACTTTAGTGATGTCAATGAATGCTCGTTATCACGTTCGTAATGCTCGTTGTAGTCGAGACTTTAGAATCGTGGTGTTCTTGCAGTCTTATCTTAAGGGGTCGGCCTGTTTCTCTTCTATATTTATTTCCATAGCTGCATGGGATGGCATACAAGCAATCCTTAATGATGTTCTCTATGGGTGGTCTTACCCAGAAGAGATTTCTGTATAGTGCTGAAGCACTCCTGCAGACTGTCCTGATGTTATATGGTTCAAAAGGGTTTGGTTAGAAATCGCAAAGTATATCACCTGAAGGCCAGAGCGTACAGCGACCGAAATTACGTGAATATGGCACTAAAGAGGAAGACAATAGCCCGAACGTTTTCAATAGTACTGGACGTATAAATGTGCATTTAAGGTTCCAATACGTTATAAGAACTCTAAAGGAATATAATGCCGATGATCCTGTTATACAGACAACATTAACTTTCATTCATAGTGATCAGTTTTTAGGGTCGGCTATACAGTTTTATCCTTGTCATTCCACTGCCACTGGAACTGAATATTATCGTATTTATTCCAGATTTATTAATTGCTACGTATGATTACTAATTCGAATGATACATTCATCATTGCAATTAGTTCCCCAAAACGGAAATTACATATGATCTATCTATCTATCTATCTATCTATCTATCTATCTATCTATCTATCTATCTATCTCAATTTGTTTATATGTATGTATTTATCTATCTCAATCTGTTTATATATATGTATCTATCTCAGTCTATTTAATATCTATATAACTAAACGCAGTCAGGCAGAGTCTCTTTCAATCTCTCTCTCCACACACACTCACTATCTCAGTCTGTTAATATCTATATAACACACACTCACACACACACACACACACACACACATATATATATATATATATATATATATCTTACACCATTTAACTGCCGCAAAGATTAGTAGTTAGGATGATAATTCGTTGTTGCAATTAGTTAACAAAAACGGAAATTATATATGATCAACCTATTCTTTCTTTTTTCTATCTATCTATCTATCTATCTATCTATCTATCTATCTATCTATCTATCTCAGACTGTTATTATCTATTTATCTCAATCTGTTGATATTTATATATGTATGTATGTTTGCGACTCAACCTAAGAGTTGGTAATTTTGCCTATTTTCTTTATGCAATGTTTGATTGATTATTGGAACCACTTATTTATAAATATTACCTCTTCTCATCATATTTGGTACATTTGCTGAATTTTCGTATATCAACTCCACATGTGACATTTTTTACGACATCACATGTTTCAAATGGTCTCAGAAAACTACGGTTGTTGCACCGTAGTGGTTTGTATTAGTTGTGATATTGCGTTAGCATTTA